ATGTTTACCATGGTCCCTAATACTCTCTTGGAGTTCTATTGGGTTAGTGGAACCATCCAATTTGTCTTTAAACGGCCAATTTACCGGTTTACAATTTGCACCGATTTCTTTAACTCAAGCCTACCACTAACATTTACTACAACAAATAATGATCATATATGTTTCCAATAGCATTATATGATCTCGAGATGTATCCCCTAAAATTTCAAGACATTTCGACACTGGGCCTCTAAACCTCCAAAATTTCTCAAAAAGCGTGGATATTAGTCCTCAATTTTGGAATTTCTTGACTTTTTTTCTCCCGAAAATAAAAATTGCCGAAATTTTTATCATGTTCCCTAATACCCTCCATGAGTCCTATTGGGTTGGTTGAACTATCCAATTTGCCTTTAAACAGCCAATTTAATTACCGGTTTACAACTTGCACGGAGTTCATTAAATCAAGCCCGATACGAACATTTATGACAACATATAATGACCATATATAGTTCCAAACGACATTGTATGACCCCAACATGTATCACCTAAAATATTAATACTTTTTTACACTATGCCCCGAAACCTCCAAGATTTCTATAAAAGCGTGGATATTAGCCTTTAATTTTAGAATTTTAAGACTTTTTTTCACCATGAAATAAAAATTGGCGAAATGTTTACCATGGTCTCTAATACTCTCCGAGAGTCCAATTGGGTGGGTGGAACCAACCAATTTGCCTTTAAACGACCTATTTACTGGTTGGTTTATAACTTGCACTGATTTCATTAAATCAAGCCTATCACGAACATTTATGACAACAAATATTGATAGTATATGGTTCCAAACGGCATTAAATGACCCCGTTATATATCCCCTAGAATTTCAAGTATTTTCGACACCAAGCCCCGAATTCTCTAAAATTTCTCAAATAGCGTGGATATTAGCTTACAATTTTGAACATTTTGATTTTTTTTCGTTCGGAAATAAAATTGCCGAATTTTTTACCAGGATCCTTAATATCGTCCGGGAGACCCATTGGGTGGGTGGAACCATCATATTTGCCTTTAAACGAACAGTTTACCGGTTTACAACTTGCACCTATTTTATTAACCCAAGCCTACCACGAACATTTATGACAACAAATAATGATCATATATGGCTCCAAACAACATTATGTGACCCCGAGATGTATCTCCTAAAATTTCAAGACTTTTCGACACTAGGCCCTAAAACCTCCAAAATTTCTCAAAAAGCGTGGATATTAGTCTTCAATTTTGGAATTTTTTGACATTTTTTTTATCTCTTGGAAATTATAATTGCCGAAATGTTTACCACGGTCCCTAATACCCTCTTGGAGTTCTATTGGGTTAGTGGAACCATCCAATTTGTCTTTAAACGGCCAATTTACCGGTTTACAAGTTGCACCGATTTCTTTAACTCAAGCCTACCACTAACATTTACTACAACAAATAATGATCATATATGTTTCCAATAGCATTATATGATCTCGAGATGTATCCCCTAAAATTTCAAGACATTTCGACACTGGGCCTCTAAACCTCCAAAATTTCTCAAAAAGCGTGGATATTAGTCCTCAATTTTGGAATTTCTTGACTTTTTTTCTCCCGAAAATAAAAATTGCCGAAATTTTTATCATGTTCCCTAATACCCTCCATGAGTCCTATTGGGTTGGTTGAACTATCCAATTTGCCTTTAAACAGCCAATTTAATTACCGGTTTACAACTTGCACGGAGTTCATTAAATCAAGCCCGATACGAACATTTATGACAACATATAATGATCATATATAGTTCCAAACGGCATTATATGACCCCGAGATGTATCACCTAAAATATTAATACTTTTCTACAGTATGCCCCGAAACCTCCAAGATTTCTAAAAAGCGTGGATATTATTAGCCTTTAATTTTGAAATTTTTAGACTTTTTTTTCGCCTGGAAATAAAACTTGGCGAAATATTTACCATGGTCTCTAATACTCTCCGAGAGTCCAATTGGGTGGGTGGAACCAACCAATTTGCCTTTAAACGACCTATTTACTGGTTGGTTTATAACTTGCACTGATTTCATTAAATCAAGCCTATCACGAACATTTATGACAACAAATAATGATAGTATATGGTTCCAAACGGTATTAAATGACCCCGATATGTATCCCGTAGAATTTCAAGTATTTTCAACACCGGGCCTCGAATTCTCAAAAAGTGTTGATATTGGCTTTCAATTTTTAAAATTTTGACTTTTTTTCGGTCGGAAATAAAATTGCCGAATTTTTTCCCATGATCCTTTATATTGTCCGGGATTCCCATTGGGTGGGTGGAACCATCCGATTTGCCTTTAAACGAACAATTTACCGGTTTACAACTTGCACTGATTTCATTAACTCAAGCCTACCACGAACATTTGTGACAACAAATAATGATCATATATGGCTCCAAACAGCATTATGTGACCCCAAGATGTATCTCCTAAAATTTCAAGACTTTTCGACACTAGGCCCTGAAACCTCCAAAATTTCTCAAAAAGCGTGGATATTTGTCTTTAATTTTTTGGAAATTTTTGACTTTTGTTTTTCTCTTAAAAATAATAATTGCCGAAATGTTTACCATGGTCCCTAATACCCTCTTGGAGTTCTATTGGGTTAGTGAAACCATCCAATTTGTCTTTAAACGACCAATTTACCGGTTTACAATTTGCACCGATTTCTTTAACTCAAGCCTACCACTAATATTTATGACAACAAATAATGATGATATATGGTTCAAATAGCATTATATGACTCCTAGATGTATCCCTAAAATTTCAAGACTTTTCGACACTAGGCCTCGAAACCTCCAAAATTTCTAAAAAAGCGTGGATATTAGTCTTCAATTTTGGAATTTTTTGACTTTTTTTCTCCCGAAAATAAAAATTGCCGAAATTATTAACATGTTCCCTCATACCCTCCAGGAGTCCTATTGGGTTGGTTGAACCATCCAATTTGCCTTTAAACAACTAATTTTATTAACGGTTTATAACTTGCACGGATTTCATTAAATCAAGCCTACTACGAACATTTATGACAACATATAATGATCATATATAGTTCCAAACGGCATTATATGACCCCGAGATGTATCACCGAAAATATTAATACTTTTCTAAACTATGCCCCGAAACCTCCAAAATTTCTAATAAAATGTGGATATTAGCCTTTAATTTTGGAATTTTTAGACTTTTTTTTTGCCTGAAAATAAAATTTGGCGAAATGTTTACCATGGTCCCTAATACCCCCCGAGAGTCCAATTGGGTGGGTGGAACCATCCAATTTGCTTTTAAACGACCAATTTACCGGTTTACAATTTGCACCGATTTCATTATTTCAAGCCTGCCACGAACATTTATGGCAAAAAATAATGATCATATATGGTTCCAAACGACACTATATGACCCCGAAATGTATCCCATAGAATTTCAAGACTTTTTCGACACCATGCCTCGAATCCTTCAAAATCTCTCATAAAGCTTGGATATTAGCCTTTAATTTTGGAAATTTTTGACTTTTTTTATTCCGAAAATAAAAATTGCCAAAATGTTTATCATGGTCCCTATTACCCTCTGGAAGTCCAATTGGGTGTGTGGAACCATTCAATTTGCTTTTAAACGGCCAATTTACCGGTTTACAACTTGCACCGATTACCGGTTTACATTGGCCAATATAATTAACTTGCAATGAACCCGACTTAAACCAAAATTGACCCAAACTCGTTTTAACCCGTCAAAACCCGAATTTAACTCGACTTGTAACTAACCTGACTTGAATTCAACTTAACTGTTCCTAATCCGACCTGAATTTAACCTAACCTGTTACGAACCCGACCCAAAATCAACTCGACTTGTTATCGACATAACCCAAATTCAACCTTACTTGTTATTGACCCGACCCGAATTTTACCATATCTATTAATTACCCAACCCAAAAATTCATCCCGATCTGTTACTAACCCGACTCGAAATTAACACGAGTTGTTATTGACCCGACCTAAATTCAACCCAAATTGTTCCTGACCCGATTTCAAATCACCTTAAATGCAGATTAGACCACCTTATTATTGTTGATCAAAGCATTTTGTTTTGGGAGACCAAGTCGGTCCTAGCCAGCAAAAGAAAGGAGAATCATCCTCAAATTTAAGAGTTAAATATAGTATATATTTGTTATATGGTCAAAGGAGATAATTATCTTCCTAAATTATAGACTATTGTTCCCTAGTATATTGCCATATATATATTATAGTCAAAGGAAATAATTAGCTTGATAAAAATGATAATTATCTATTTATAGTTAGTTGAACCCGAATATGACCTGATTTGGAAATGACCCGACCTGAATGTAAACTTCAAATTATTGACTTGAACATAACCCGACTTGAATCCGAAAATGACCCGACTTGGAAATGACCCAACCTGATTATAACCCGCAAATTATTGACTTGAACCGAACCCGACTTGAACCTGAGAATGACCCGACCTGATCGACTTGAACCGAACCCGAGAATGACCCGACCTGATTCTAACCTGCAAATTATTGACTTGAACCGAACTCGAGAATTACCCTAACCCGTTTTAACCCGTGAAAACCCGAATTAAACCCGACCTATTGTTTACCCGACCCGAATGTAACCCGACTTGTTATTAACCCGACCTAACCCGATAAGAAGTATGACTCGACGTGACCCGACTGAAGCATGACCCAACCCAAACCCGACCCGCATAGGTTATGAAATTAATCTGAATTGACCCGACCCAGTCTTACCCGACCCAAACCCAACCCGTTTACCCGAATTGACAGCTCTACTTACAGATTTTGAAAATGAAATCAAAGACGAAGAAGGTTTACTAGTTTTTCTTCTTCAATTTTCTTTTTTATTATTCCTGTTTTTCTAATTATGAGTTCATGATGCTGATCTCTGGTTCTTCCTCATATAGCATTAAACTATATATTTTTATTTTTTTTCAATGAATAGGTATATCCTAAGGAAAAGGTTTGGCCAGGGAGCATATGGTGAGGTTTGGTTGGCTTTTCAGTGGAATTGTTCTCAAGGAGAAAATGCCAGGAATTGGAATCAGAATAACAGAACTTTTTCCAGACACCATCTTAATATGGAGTCATGCAATGAAAATTCAGAAAACTCCTCATCACGTTATGATTGTCCTAGTGGTTCCTCTGATAGTAACCTGTTCATTTTGAAGCGCATAATGGTAGGTCTGAGTAGTGAGTACTTATGATTTATTTCTTTATCGTCCATTTGGTGGTCTTTTCTCCTGCATATTGCTAAGTTACCATTATCATTCTGCTCTTTTGACTTCAGCTTATTAATCATGCTGTTATTTTCTGTTGTCATTCATTGAAAGAATTTCTTCTATGCGATATGCCTGGTAAGCTGCATTAAAGTACATTTGTTTGTGTTTAGGGAATATATTTTTGCTTTTTTTGCGGAAGCCTATATTATGTGTGCATTTATGTTAAGCAAAGGGTTATCGTCATGTTACTCATGTACCTTAAATGAATTGTCTGCTATCATTTAAAAGGTGCGGAGATTTATCAACTTAAATGCAAGTATTTAGTTTCTTTTTATTATGAACAGGTGGAGAGAGGAGTGTGCATTTATGTTAAGCAAAGGGTTATCGTCATGTTACTCATGTACCTTAAATGAATTGTCTGCTATCATTTAAAAGGTGCGGAGATTTATCAACTTAAATGCAAGTATTTAGTTTCTTTTTATTATGAACAGGTGGAGAGAGGATCCTCTGTTTACCTGAGTGGGTTGCGGGAGAAGTATTTTGGTGAAATATTCTTAAATGCTTCAACATCTCTAGGAGGGTTTCTACCATCTACAATGTCAAGCTTATTATTTAGAAAACCTGGAGCCAATTCTTATGGTCCTTTTGGAACAGACGAAAATCTTAGAATTGTTATTCAGGAGAGTGAGGATTTTGAGAATCCTGGAGATGGGTTTATGCATGGAAATGGAACATGGACAGTGATTTATGAAGACGGCCTTGATCATATTGCAAGATATGTGGAATCTTTTGAGTCTCGTTCTAATGAAATATGGCTTGTTTTTAGGCATGAAGGCGTTTCTTTGTCAAAGCTTATGTACGCAACTGGAGATGTCGATGAAATCCCGTCAGAAAGAACTGGACATGCTCAGGTATTGCGCCCGTCAAAATGGTGGCATTGGCTTAAGACAACAAAAGCAGGACATGAGGAAATGAGGAGTGTTATCAAGCAGTTGGTGCGTGCTTATAAAGGTTTTTAATGCAACGTCGTTATTTGAGTTGTTTTATTCAGTTATCTTATCTTGTTCAGGTGCAACTTATGGCTTGTGTTTTTAATGTTAAAATTTAAATGAAGAATGAATAGGAGCATGCTTATGCTAGAAAGTTGTCTTACATATTCAGAATGCTTGTCTTGGCCAATCTGTTAGTCTGACCTAGCAATTGGAGTTCCATATTTCAATATAGCTTCGTGCATGTGTAGAAATTTTTTATTATTTAATTATTTTGGATCTTAGGACTAGAACTTTACCAAGCCTTTTTTTTTTTTTAAACTTCCGTATGCTTGTCATTGTTACCTGTTTGAGTTCTTACTTGGACTTCCTGAGATAATTTCTTTTCTTTGTCTCAGTTGGTGGCACTTAAGTCTTGTCATGATCGTAATATTACCCACAGAGATATAAAACCTGGTGAGGATCTTGATACCCTGTGTTACTATTCATCCTGAAATGGTGATGCATAATCTCCATTTTATTTCTGCATAATTAAATAATAAGAAAATTAGAAGGATTTGTAAAACATATTAATAGTTGTTTATAGGCTATCAATCATTTAAGAGATGAACGTGGCATGTTAGGGTCTCACGAATTGTATGTAGTTTTTTTTCATGTGCTTAAGGTTCTATTCAGGTGATTTATCTTTGCAAAATATTGAAGGAAACTTGCTTTAATCTTTTATGGATCTCTTTCTATGGACCTTATGAGTAAACTATGTGATCAGTCACTAATCAATCATCCTAGTCAAAGCTATATCTCATAATTGTTGATTACAATAAAGTCAGGGCTCTTAAGTTTAATTGTCTGTTTTCAATCAAATTAGTAAGTTCAGAGAAGGGAATACAAGGTGAAATCAAGAAGATTTACGGTTTGTTTGGATAACAAAGAAGGAAAGAAAAGAAGGGGAGGGAGAATGGAGGAAGGGAAGGGAAAAGAAAGGGAGGGGGAGGTGAGCTCCATTTTCCCTCCAAATCTCTCCAATTTTGGAGAGATTATGGTTATTATAGAGAGAGGGAAAATAGATCCTTCCCCTTCCTTCCCCCAATCTTTTACCCAAACAAGAGATTTTGTCCCCCTCCATTTCTCTTCTCTTCTTTTCCTTCCATTTCTTCCTATCCAAACAAAGTGTTAATGTGTGGAATTATATGACTGGCCTCTCTTTATTTTGCCTGTTATTTCTTTCTATTTTCAAATTGATACACTGTGAGAATTGTTTCTTTTTTTGGTACCTTTTTTTTTTAAAAAAAAACCTATATTTTGGGTCTTTCCACTAAAATCTTCTATTGCTTCCATATTTCATTAGTTTGTTAAAATTTAATATTGGATCAAGACAAAGCAACCTTGCATATTAAAATTTATTATGGCTCCGTTAAGCTCACACATTGGCTATCTCCTTTTGATTTCTGACCATACAATTAATTTTGACTCTTAGATTTAAATTGAATTTCTGGTTCTTGGATATTGATTTGAGAATTTGTTTCTGCAGAGAACATGGTAATATGCGTTGAAGATCAGGATACAGGGGAATGCGTTAAGGGAAAATCAATTGGAGATCTAAAAGTTGCAGGAAAAATGTATGCACTCCTTTTACAGTAGTTTTGTAAAAAAATTAATTTTATTACTGGTTTCTATACATGAAAATGGATATTTTAGACTCCAATATTACCTCAATTGTGCCACCTTTGGTGAATGTTGGTCTGTCAGGCGTATTATTGACTTCGGTAGTGCAATTGATGACTTCACCATGAGGCGTTTATATGGATTTAAAGGCCCATCTAGGTACTTTCCAAACTTGAGACCTTTGCATTTCCTTTAGATATCTTTCATTAATTCTAATCAGAATTGTTGTTCACAGCCACAGTTCATGTCTGGTTTTTTCATACTGTTATTAGATCATGTATGATGTGATGAAGTGTTAAAGTTCATAGATTATATGTAATTCTATTAATGCTTTCTCCCTTTCCTAGTTAGGATCATATTAAGATTTCTTTGAGACTAGATGAAATCTGTTTCTCAGCCTAAATATAGTTGTTTTTGTTGGTGCTACTAAGCTCAGTTGGTAGTCTTTGGAGGATTAGATATTGTTTACATTTCTGCCCTTTATGAAACCTTTTAAACCAAAAGGGGAAAAAAAGGGTTGCTAGAGCTAGAGCATATAGAAAAAACAGCACTTCTAACTTTCTTATTATGATACAGATTTCCTGAATTCAGATAGGGCTATTAAGATGTTCATATGAAAACATACGACTACATCATTTGAGTTGCTTATATGTGATATATTATCTTCAGAGGCAGGTTCTATCCTTGCTGACTGCATTTATATCACACGTGGACTGCAAATATTCATTTGTCTTCTATCTATTGCTGTAATTATTATTATTTTGTTTTTGATCCCTCAATCACTAGTCATTGCGAAAGGAGAAAGACAGAAAGAAGACACAAGTCTAATCATGATCTGTCATTTCAAACAATGTATTATCTTCAAAGAGGGAAATTAACATAAAGTATTATTTTCATCCATAATCTATCAATCCTGTATTTGAAGGTTTTTATGACTGAGAATTTGTAGTCAGAAATATACTGTGTTCTATTGTAGGTTTCTACTGTGGGTCACATATTTTCCTTTTTTAAAAATTTATTTTGAAATTTTATTAATTTTATTTATTTATTTATTTTTTATTACAGAGCTGAACAGACATTTGAGTACACTCCCCCGGAAGCTTTATTGAATACAAGTTGGTTTCAGGGACCTACAAGCAGAACTCTCAAGTATCCAATTCAATTAGCTGAAAAGTTTATCTTCTTGAAGAATTTTTTCATATTTATTTATTTTACTTACATGTACATACCTTTACGTTAGCTACAACACTCAATATTGGAACAACCCAATAATGAAGCACATAAATGCCCTACCTGTTTTCCAGATACATATGTTCTAAGTTCCTTTTTTTGGTAGGTATGATATGTGGAGTGTTGGAGTTGTATTCTTGGAGATGGTATTGGGATCAACAGATGTTTTCCAGATTAGCTCTTTATCCCATGCCCTTCTAGATAAGCTTCTTGAAGGTTGGAATGAAGACTTGAAGGAGCTTGCTTATAGGTGAGATCTGTCATAATGTTTTATGTTCATAAATGATCTACCTACTTCACCGAATTGATTCTTTGCTGTTGACACTATAAGTGATTGAAGTGACGAATGTTTTTTTATTGCATGGAAGAAGTTCATGTTGTCCCATGGAAGGATTTCCTGTTGTCCTGCTAGCCTTGCTTTAAAAGATGTTTGCCTTTTTTTTGCTCACCTATAACTGTGTCAGATGATTTATGGGTGTTTTGCTCAGTGAAAAGCTAAAACAATTTCAAATGTGAATTATTTGTGCAGGAGATAGTTATATCTTCTGTGGTCAGCTGTTGCTCATGGAAATTCTGAAAATTTTCTTTTCTTTGATTGCAAATTTGCAATGCTGCATGCTAATGTGTTATCAACTTATCATTATGATGTCAAAGATAGTTTTAACATACACTTGATAAACTGGGGTTTAAGTTTGAAATTGTAGTTTGAGCATCTTACTACTATGATATCTTTGCCTTAGTTGAATGATCACCGGCAATGAAGCATTTAAAATTCTGCTTCAGTATCTATCTCCACAAGTGAAATATGGCTTATGGACTCATGGTGTTGAATGATGCTAATATGTTGTTTAATGAATAATCATGTACATGAAAGTATTATTGAGAAACTAAAGCTGTTATTGCTGATAAGATGCTACTTTTTATCTCACTTGGTCAGGCTTAGGTCCTTCATGGAAATGTGCATATTAGTCCCTGGCCATTCCACTACACGTCATCCTGGCAAGGGTCCACAAGACCAGGTGAATATCTTATATGTAGAATCTGTTTTAGGCTAACCTTGAACTTTATTTTAACTTTCCGTTGTTCTGTATTGATCAAGATAGTCATGTCACGTATTTTTCTGTTTGCCCCGAGTTTAAACCTGATTGCCCTTTCTTTTTGATTGATTTTATTTGATCCCACTAATTATATAATGTATTATTTTATATAATAATTTGGGAAGGTCTTGATTTATTATTTTGTGACTACTTGCACTCACATAGTGGTTGTGATTATCACAATCAGTGATTGTGCTTCCACCTGCCATCTCCAAAGTCCCAACCATAAATGTTGGGTGTTTGGTTCACATTTCCCCAACTCAAATATTGGGTGGGATTCATTGTCACCTTGCTGGGTTTGCTTTCCCAGCCTTTAAGTTATTTGGTCTTCTTGTGGATTGAGCCCCCCACCCCCTTTCCCCCCACAAAAAGAGCTCTCTGGGGCTGGTCCTCTAGAAGGAAAAAAAAGGCAGTGCTTGTGCTTGGCAAACAGAGATGACATGATCTACAGAATCAGAACTATTTGCTTTACTGTTAATACTATTCTATGTGGTTGACTGTATTCCAATTCATTCAAATGTGCTGGTTAATATACTAAATTTATATCTGCAGGCTAAAGCTTCACCGGCTTCATGGAAATGTTCTGAAGAATTCTTCTCGAATCTTATAAAAAGTAGAGACCCTCTTAATATAGGGTTAGTTACCATTACTCATAATTATTTGGTTGAACTTACATCATACTGGTCAGGTTATAGACACTCTTGAACCTGACTCACATTGTTATCAGGTTTCCAAATGTCTGGGCCATGCGTCTAGTACGACAGCTTTTACGTTGGGATCCGGTAAGTCTCTGTAATTTTATTTTTCTTCTAATTATTATCTGGTGAAGTGTTTTTCATGATGTAAAAAAATCTCTTTTCCATTATTATACAAAGTAAATTACCGATGTTCAGTAACCAAATTAGCTTTGGTCTTTGGATGGAATTGAGTCTATTGGCTAATGGCTATAATGGGTTGTGTGAATATTTGGATACTAGTAACTAAAAAGTGTGCATAAAAGGCAGCATTTACGCACGTTTCTGCAACTAGGTTGAATGGTTTAACTTCATAGTTATCTGGTGATATGGATCGTATGCTCTGCATATTACTTTAAGGTTAACTTCTGCTTTGTGTTTTATAGAATTTTTGTTCTCATGTTATGTGTACAGGATGATCGATTGACTGTGGATGATGCTCTGCAGCATCCTTATTTCCAATCACCTCCCAGCTGATCATTGAAAGTTTGGAACTATAAGTGCATTCTTTCGTGAAAAAGAATAGTTAGCGTCAGGGGTCAGCAACTCAGCATATAACAATTAATGAGGGGGCAGAGGAAAGGAGTGAATGACTTATTCATGGTTTATATAAACCACGCCCTTCAGGATGAGCTGGATGTGACAAGAGACAGAAATGCTTGGTGTTGTTTCTGAGGGGGTTTCTAGATCATTGTACTTTGAGACCAAGAATCAGAATAGTTAATTCTCTGTCAAAGTTGCAAAAAGATGATAAAACCCTGAAGATATAATCTTCTCGATGTTCAGAAACACACAAGAAGAGAAAGCCGTCACTAATTTTCCCATCAAGACGATGCCAACAAGGAAGTGGCAAGGAAAGACTTGCCTACACCTATTTTGTGTCGTCTTTTTTTTACCTTTGTATGTAAGCCATCCATGCAGATGTTGTAGAAGTAACTATACGTGCTTACTGAAGTATCAAATCAGAAGTATATGATTTCATTATTCAGAAGCAGGGTTGTAAATTTGTAGCAGGATTAGAATTTTGACAGATTTTAGTGCAAATTAGCTGATGTATTTGGAGATTTCATTTCAACATCTAATATACCTTTTACTTTGCGTATATTTCATTCGCTTTTTTTCCTTGAAAAACCTAACCAGAATTAGAACGCAGAAAAAGAAGTTCGAAAAAGGAATATCAACAAAATGCTTAAAACAGGAGGCTTGAGTAATCATGCAGACAATCAGACAGGAGATTTAAGAAAGACAAGGAAGCACAGTGACATACTGGTATGTATTACAAGCACAGGGAATAAACCAAAAACCAAGTGATGAACATATAAATAGAATAAAGGTGTTTCGAAACTACTTGTTTCTGATCTGTCTACTCAATTGCCAAAAATGTGCTCTACTCGGGTCTCCAGTTTTCTGTATCTGGATTATAGACTAGACAGAATGCACAATAATAAATCCTGAAGATTAGAATCTATAGTAATTGGTCACTATTTTTTTTTAAAAAATGGCTAAGATACTGAAGTACTGAACAAGCCAGTAATCCCAGTATTACAGTATGATTTCTTAAACTGACCTCGGTAGAATAAATTTCTCAGTTAATTTCAAGTAATCACATTATTTCTCAAGGGAATTACAACAACAGACAAGTTATCTGTGCTGCCTTTCTCATATGCTTTATTCACAATGCATTCAGCCCATGATGAGAATGGACAATTAAATGATCTCGAATAATTTTGGTTTTCATCCTGAGAGTATGCTTCGTGCAAGAGTCTGCAAACCTCTTGTGTGTTCAATCCCTCGAAGATGCCATCAGATGCAACCACCAGAAAGACTTCACTTGCATCCAAATGGTGCCATTTAACCTCTGGTTCTGCTATCACCCCATACCTGAAAGAGTTCATTATTAATAACCATTTTTACTATGTTACTTTCTAGTACGAGGAATATAATTTAACCATTTATGCATCTCACAGTTAGATAACAAGTCACAAGATACAAAAATTAAATCTATCATACGCTTGAAGAAGTGAATATCAGCTTGCTTGTTAAAGTTTTTAAGGGTTGTACCAGAAACTGGGTTTCCCAACTTGTCTACATTTACTTCCCTTTTGTGCAGTCACGATATTCACTTACAAAAACAGAAGAGCATACTTGCAGCAGAGTACTGAAACTCTGAGAGCAAGGTTTTTCTTAGTTTCGACAAGGGACACAATGAATCTAAGGTTACCTTCACTCAAGGCATAACTACTGAAAGCAAGTGTGTTGAACATAATTACCTTTTTAAGTACACATCACCAATGGATCGTGATACAGCAAGGATACCATTGACTCTAGGCACTCCCAATAGAGAAACAAACCCTCCAGCAGCTGTAATACGGGCATTTTCGTCATCTCTATCAGGATGATGATCTTCTGTTAGTTCTAGGACCTGTAGACTGGTCATGGAGGTACCTATAATAGTTCAATTACATAAATCATTGGCCACAATTTCTGAACCAGCAGCAATATAAATTATACAGTCCATCAATGTCGACATCATTGAAACCCAAATAGCCAATTACTTTTGCTGTTTGTATCTACAGAGGTTTGTAACATCTCTGAGCATAAAAATGCCTTTGAATCACCAACATTTGCAACCAGCAGTTCATTATCCACGAAAATAGCTATGGTCGCTGTTGTTCCTGATAGCAGATGTTTTCTTAAGGCCACCTGCATTAATGGATGAACAATAAAATTAATTTCACACTCAGGCTTTCACTAAGTTTAATCCGGTTTTTGATGCAAGATGCCAAGATAGAAGAGCAAACTTCAGAAAACGTCAAATCAATGTCGTGAACTGCCAGGAGAACTGCTTCCTGTATAACTTCCATTGTCTTTGATTCATTCATACGCCTGAAATGTAATACAAATTGATCGCTTCAATCTGATGTACAAAGTCATTATGTACCATAAATCAAACTTAAATAGTTAAATGCAACAGAGTTCAAGATTTCAGCATATAGGTGTTATTCAACACCTTTAATTTACAGTGGAATGAGTGAAAGGTTCAAATATTATGAACAACCACATCAAAAAAAAAAAAAAAAGGAATAACTTCAGGTAAGGTCAATAATATCAACTAGGTTCAGATAAACTCAGATCAGGAAAAGTGTTCACATGAACGAAAAAAAAAAAAAAAAAAAACAGATAAAAAAAATGCAATCAGTAAACAAATAAAACAAGCTAACAGGTTAAAATCCAAAGCGTCCTGATATGTCATCCTAGAATTATTGACATGAACCTTCTAAGATGAGTCTCCAAAGATTTAAACTCCGTTTCCAATGGGAAAGCCATATGGTGCCCGTCTTCAAAGAGCTCCATTTCTTTCTGACTTAAAAAACTAATGTGAAGTTGAATATAGTAAGGAAGGAGTTGAGCAGCTAATTCACTGGCTTCTTTTCCGCCATGACCATCAAACACTGCCGCTACACCAATCTTCACATTTTCTGGACCTAAGTTACCTGCGTCAAAGTTTAATCTTATGATTTCTCCTCTATTTGTTTTCTTCTGTTTTTAGCTCCATTACCAACACAAACTTTTTATAATTTTTAAGGTTCAAGGTGATCAAACTGAGCATCATCATAAATAGTCATGCTGATGTCCATATCATAATAGGGAACAAAATGGTAACATCTTTTAGTGCATGGCATCAGCTCACACTCATCAGCCCCATGATAATTCCTCGTGATAACAACGAAGGAAAGTAAAACATTCTGTCTCAAGCTAAAGAAGGCAAGTTGGAAGGCATTACATGGTTATGCATAACTTTATTCGAAGTATATATTTCACAATTGGTATCCTGATGAAAAATTATTAAAAAATCATGCATCATTTGGGACTGTTTATTAAAGCAGAAAGAATGACCTTTTGGTATCTATGACATTGTTTAACTATGCACTGTATTCTCAAGACATTTCAATGTATTGGTAAAAAGAAATACAAATGCAAGGGAGGACAACAAAGAAGAGGCAAACAATGAGCAATTACCAAGAAGATCAATCTGCATATCGAGATCACAGAAAACACGATCCTCTTGGTACTTCCTTCGCCCTTTTAGTGAAGCAAACTGGCATTTAGTTGTATGATTCGGGTTCTTAGGATGAATATACTCAAAGGAACATTCTGGAGATTGAAGAACAGCTGGAGCGCCACCTTCATTGTAAAGTCTCATACAAGAGTCAGACCTTCCATGGCATCCTACTATCACGTTAAAGAGAACTCCAACCAAAATGCACTCAATCTTGAACTTCTCCATCAACAATAACACAGTGAAGCTATCTGCAAATAATCAGGTTTGCTGTTATGATTCCAAAGAACAGCATGGAACTCATCTAATTTTGATCTATTGGGATCAGACTAATTACACCCTGATATTTTGGTGATTAAACAAGAAATCAAAAATAACAAAGGTAGTGGAAAACACACATGAATTCTAACACGAACGAACGAGGAATTCATCACTACACTATATTACTTAAATTCAAGTAATACACAACATAAGTCAGAAATTCTCAAAATTGGCTATGCAGTAATGCAGACATATACCACAGAGAACAAATAAACTCCTAATTTATATCTGTCAATTCCATTCGACTTACTTCGTATTTTTTTTGAACTTATCTATGAATTAAGTGAAAATAAGTCGAACAAAACAAGACCTAAGACTATATTCAACCTAAATCCTATACCAACAAGATCATGAAACTAAAAAACTTTCCAAGAACCATCCACTAGATATTCAATTATTACTCCAGTCAATTATCTTTCTAAGTCTCCTACATGAACCCACCCCCCCCCCCCCACCAAAAAAAAAAAAAAACTGAATTTTCCAAGAATCAACTTTTATAACAATGGGTGCCCTGATGGGCAGTAATCATATTACACACATATATATATGGCCAAGATTAAGCTGTTCTATCTAACTTTGTCAATGAATTTCATATAGAAGTGCTCTGTCCCAACAAAATAATCGATACATGAAAAGTTGTATGAATGAATTCAGGATTCCACAATTAATTGAAAATTGAAGAATAAATGAGCAAGAAATCATAATTAGATCATGGGAAAGGAGTTAGCTTCTGAATACTTACCCGATTTTACACTTTTTTTCATGATCTCCTGATATAATCCTGCAGAACCTTCAACCTTGGACGGACGAACTTGAGAGGTAAAAGTAAAACTTCCCCTATTCCAAATTCTGGAAAATTGGTTGTGTTTGTATTCATATTCGTATCTGTGTACAATAATACAATCTATTATGTTGTGTCATGTGTCATGTTTATATTTTTTATGTTTCGTGTTAATTCAAATTGTATTACGTAAGTAGTCTTACTACTCAATAACGTTTTACTTAATTTCCCGTACCATAGTAATGAAAAATCACTATAGTGATGACACATTTTGATTACCACCTTATAATCATCATTAATCAAAATGTGTGCCTTTTCTTGTATTAAAAATATTGCGAATTTCATACAATACTAATGTTATTGGTTTCAGAGGAAAACACGCATACATGTAACATGGTCTATTCCAAAGTTAAGGCAACAAAGATCAACATAAATGCAAGTACATAAGTTGTCCCGAACAATTAACAAGGAAAGGCTAAATGATTTTTTAAACAATTTTTCTAAGGGGAGCATTTATGTAAACTTTGAAGCTTCATTGGATCACTAAATAACTACTATGGAAATTGTAAACATTAAATTTGAGAAAGATTATGTATCAAAAAGGTCTTAACCTTGCTTAGGAACACAATTTAGGCTTGTAGAATGTCATCTTGAGATATTTTGTGAAATATGTAAATCATTGTAGTAAATCAGTTTGAATATGTTCCTTAATGGAAAGAGTTTCTTAATGGATTGTGTAATAATTGTAATTAGAGTAACTAAGATTAGTGTTGATTAAAATGTTGGGTTTCAACACTTTTTAGGATGCAGCGAATGCATCAATGGTAACAGCCCTTCCAGAAGCTATAAGAATTTCTTCATTTTCTGTTCACTGTAATTAAATACACTACACTGAACATAAAGGTTACAAAACTTGAGGCGAAAAAAAATAATGACACCTCATTCGAATACATATGCTTGGGAATTTACAAGAAATGAACATGCAAATTTCTGTAGAATGATCAGGGCTCATGCCTACTATGAAGCTCCAACATCTCTTGATGGTTCGGATCAACAGAAAGAGCAGCTCTGCAATCCCGGAGGGCACCCATGACATCACCAATGTGCTCATGGAATGCTGCTCGTAAGTGCAGCAGGTGGACATCGGCTTTGAATGCTATCGCCCTTGAAAGCTTTTCTATGGCTTCTTTCTCCTTGTGGCTGTCCATCAACACTGTCCCAAAATAACAAAGAAATCAGTATTGGGTGTTACAAGGAGAGATCAATATGACTAGTTGTAGCATCTGATCACCACAGCATGTCCTCAATCCATTATCATCAATTTTGTGCCTCAGTTGAAGGTACTGACTACAGTATTGTTTATTGGAACTTATAAATTTACTACTGTATAACAGATGACGGATCTGAAGGACAACCAGGGAAACTACTAAAGCACAGAGCCACAGACATCTGTACTTCCAAGTTTCAAACAATGAACCACAAAATAGGAAAAGGCAAACCGGAATAAAATAAGCGACAAGCCCCCAACAACACCCTACAGAAACCTTTATTGAGACGCACAATCAGAGGTTTTCCAACCCTTGAGTTCTATTATGCAGAAGTTCAAGAAAAATATACTTTACCTGCAGCTCGATAACGGTATGGATATACTCGAAGTGGATCTAATCGGGTAACCATTTCCAGGTCTGCCTTGGTCAAGTCACGATCACAGTACTCTGACCTCTTTTCGTATGCAGATGCATTGTTCTGCGCCTTTTCAATTAGCTTAGTCATTTCTTCATATGCAGCAGTCTTGTCATTCTTGAGGAAATGAACTCGAGCAAGGCCTTGATGAGCTCTGGTATGACGGATCTTAAGGGCATTAACATAGCAGTCGGCTGCCAAGTCATATTTTCCACAGTCAACATAGACGCTCCCAAGATTGTTCAGAGCCTGTCATGTTTGCATTTTATCAGCACATACTAAACATGGAAAATAATGATTCCACATACTTAAAACAGTCTATTCTGTTAAACTAGGAATTGAGAAACAAAGGGAAGATAATCTACTAATCTAGGAGTAGCTTATGTACAATTCTGGAAGGACCATGAAATAAATACACTCTCTAGCAGTAACTAACTAGCAACAGTGGCTAATTCATAGCAAATTCAATTGCATCAATATTCTCACGGATAAATCCAGTTGTTAGCTCAATCTTATGTACTAATAATATTTCTGGCAAAGATAAAAAGACAAAGATGAGGTAATTAGTCCCGAATAAGCTTAACACCTTTGAAGAACAGAATGACAGCTTTCAATACCTCGAAAAAAACATTTTAGATGAAACCATGGTATCAAAGTGCAATAAGAAAGTAAATTTGAGTGTAAATCTATGCAAAGACCAATTTCGATTACAGTAGTTATTTGTACATGCCTTCCCAGTCAAATTGGAAATTGACAAAAAATAAAAAGGGTGATGCCAAGAAACCATACCTGACCTTTTCGCAGCCTATCCGAAGGGCACTTTAGAGCATCCTCAAGAAGTGTAATAACAGCTGAAGAACAAGATGGATCCTGACTAGAGTCAGCCAATGCATAAGCTTTCAAGAAGAAAGCCTCAAATGATCTCTTAAGTTTTATCGACTCTTCTGCCTTGCGAAGCCCTTCCTCACAGTGTCCAGTGTCATACAATATCCAGCCTTCATAAACCAGACGCTCATCTTCACTTGAAGCATGTTGACGAGCCAACTGCAAACTTCTCATGGCTGCTTCAGGACAATTCAACCTGGTTGAGAACGGAATTAGATGCCTATAAAGCAAGCAGCATTCACGTGTGTCCCATAATGTAAATGTGTCCTAGTTTCAAAGTTTTTAAAGTAAGGAAAGGCCATGTTTTTCCTAGTTTCCATATCATAAAGCAAGTAATCTACAAATTTTAACTTTTCAATGCTTCAAAACTAGTGCAAATAAATGCCGCTTTAAAAAATCCTACAGCACTGTTAACACGATTATATAAACTGACCAAGACAAAACTAGTGCAAAAAAGCCCTTTAAAGCTGGTCCATAAGATTTAAAGTCAGAATATGATAGAGCATACCTTAGGAGAAGTAATGATTGTCTGAAGTACAGGACACCTTTTGCTGCATCAGATTCAAGCATCTGATAAATTACAGATAAGGATCCAATATCATCTACTGAAGACCACCGGTCATATAACTTCAACCAGCAGTCTGCAGTTGTCCACTTCTCGACGTGCTCACGCACCAACATACGAAGTTTGGTTGCTGCAACACGGCCTTCAAACATTCGATAGCCAGGAGAAAGAGTGAGAATGGCCTGAACATCACAAAAGGCTGCTTCGTAATTCTCTAGCGCTAGATAGAAGCAAAATCTGAGTTCCAAGCATTCTAAAGCTAGTTTAAAACCAAGAACACGATTTATTTCACCAATTGCAGCTTCAGCCTCTTGTCTCCTCATAAAGGTTGCGGCCCGATACATGTATGGATAAGTAAGTGTTGGGTCTAATTCAGTTGCTCTCTCAAGGTCATCCCACCTCTTATCTCCTTCATAATAGAGGGCCCTCTCCTGGTACATCCATCCCAAAGGAGTTGATGATAAAACTAAAGAGTTAAGCTTCTCAAACGCCCAACTTTTCTTGCCCTTATTGTAACTTATTCTAGCCAGACCAGCAATTGAGTACGTGTGGCCTTCTTTAACAGCTTTCTGGAAAAGCTGTTCAGCTTCATCATATTCTTTCCGAAGAAGCCTCACGCAACCTAGCTGATGAAAAGCTATCATTTTTTGTCGATTATCCTTTGCGGATTGCACCAATCGTTCCAAGAATAACACAGATGTGTCAGACCTAGCATCAAGACTCATGGAAACTTCACTTAATAAACAGAAGAGTGAGAATGAGGCTTGTCCAACCACAATAGACAACTGTTCCCTGTTAGCATTGCCTAAAATTTCCACAACCCTATCATCATTTAAACAATCGGGAAGGTCATGTAAAAAAGTTTGCAAACATGAGGCTGCAAGTATTGGAGAATTCTCCTCTATTGCACATTCCAGAAGATCCACTGCATCCTGCCTGGAGGAAACAAGTGATGCAAGTTTTCGATCACATGTATCTTTCAAGCCCTCACAGCAGAATTTGTTAGCAAAAATCAATATCTCTACTAGTAGTTCTGGAGAGACTTCATCTAAACATCCAGCCTTGCTAAATTCACTGATTGCTTCCATACCCTTTGGTGATATATCATTCTCCGAAAAATCAATTTCCTGACAGTATGATTCAGTAAAGCAACCGTTCAACATAGCACGAAATGGAGCTGAAAGACGAGCCATTTTTTGTCTGTCACAATGTACTCTCTCATTCCCAATCCGAAAAACAACAGTCTCAGCACTATCACTCCCACTGATGGACGCATCCTCAGAGGACCGCGAACCACAATCAACTTGAAGTTCAGAAGACACATCAATCGGCCCAGTCTCTCTAGCACATTTACTACAAGAACCAAGCAGATCAAAGATAATCTCCTCTCCTTTCTTCTCATACTTCAACCATGACCCAAATATAATCTTCTCATGAACACTACTAGCCTTAAGCCAAGCAGTCCTAAGACTCCTACGCATCAATTTAACCTCTCCTAGTCCCCTAAACACCTGAAACTGTAGTAAATACAAATTTGACCTCTCATTCTTCGGACACGATTCGAGTTCTTCATGAATTTGAGCTAAAACTTGTACATAATCAAGAGGCTTAAAGTGCGGGACAATAGGTGGTTCAGGAACCTTGATAAGAGATCCACTACAAATACCAAATTACAACTACCAATCAACAAAACAATCAACAATCATCTAAAATAAATTCAAAAAAATTCTTACAAAAATCAAGCAAAACATAGAAATTGAAACTTACATTGAGCAGCTGCTACCTTGGAAATATTTTCCTCTTTCAACTTGAAGCCATGACTGTGGATTTAGAACATTGAGATAATGTGTTTCTTTACAAGATTCAGAATTAAATAATGTCCTCATAGGACATAGAGCACGGAACAGTTCCCAGATCTCCACAATGTTAAACCTTCCTCTTAGCTCTTCAGCCAGAGGAAGAATCTAGACTTTAGGGTTCTTATAAATCACAAATTATTACTACCAAAAAAAGGTGAAATTTTTACAGAAATTCACCAAATTTTGAACTAATATACTCATAAATAGTGAAAAAATTAAAGGGGGGGACTTTTTTTTTTTTGACAGAGTTTTACATACACTTTGCTATGAAAATTTACACTTTTATAAGCCCAGAAAACACCAAAAGAATCTCTACCAGAAACCTAAATAAGAACAAATCAAACCAAACCCACTTCAAATAAATTAAAGCCAACCAATTTTTTTCACCTAATCCAATAAATTGGAGGAGATAAACCCAGAAATCTCTCGATTTGTTGCTGCATAAACAACCCAGAAAATGAAAAATTGGAGCTTAAACAAGAAAAGAGAAGCAACCCCAGAAATTAATTAGCTTGAATTTAGAGAACCCAGTACAGAAAAATGGGGAAATGAGCTTGTAGGCGTGAGATCAAAGTGAGAGAGAGAAAAGAGAATGAGAATCCAAAGGAAGAAATTTCTCACTTTTTTTTATGTTCTCCTTTTTGTTTGTTGGTTGAATTGAAAAAAGTTTTTAGCTTTATTAATTACAGTGTACTCCGTAATATGTTTGTTTTTCCCTCCTTTATTTATTTCATTTATTTTTTCCTATTGCTCATTTGCTTACTTTACCTTGCTAATTTGATTTCTTCCATTGGGAAACCCAGAAAAGATTTGCAGTTTACTGTTGTGTTTGGTCAGACCTTAGACTTGGGAAACTATGTCATTAAATAAATACACTACTATATACGAGATTTAATTTTAATTTTATTTTTAATTTTAATGTACTACTGTATCTCAATTTTATTGTCGTATTTACAAGGCAAAAGCTAATGAGCGCCCTGAGGCGTTAGATAAGAGAATTAAAAGTGGAAATATTAGAGTAAAATTAACATTAATTACACCGAACGACGCGTGATTTTATCATGCATTCCTAACTTAATATCATATCAACCAATATACTTATTCCTTATCTAACGCCCCAGAGCGCTCGTTAACAAGATCCATGTATTTACATTACTTTAGAAAAATACTGATAGAGTTAAATAAAGAGTTCGATATCAAGGGCTGTATTTAATTGACTAATTAATTTGCATAAATCTACAAGATACCAGAAAAAGAATTTCGTGCTACGTAAAATTTAAGAAAAAGAAGTTCATGCAATTATTAAAACTATGATTAATTAATGCGATTATTATATTTGTCGGGTGAGAAATGCTAAGAGCAATAAACGTTAGAGATGTGATGCCGAGGTGTTTGATTAGTGTGAGGTGGGTGAGGGTAAAACGACGACGTTTTTGCATGTGGAACAGCAAGGATTGTGGGCCCCACTCACATAACAAAGATGAAATGGTGTTAGTGGGCCACCTTGACTTTGATGATTTTTGGTTTAACACATAATAATGGCAGATAAAAGAAAAAATAAATAAATTAATAAAATTAATAAAGTAAATTATTTAATTTAATTAATTATAATGATAATACAGAGTGGAAATTATTCTCACATGTGTATGATTCCCATGGATGAACAATAAAAGATGGTGATGGGAGTTAGCCGACTGTCATCTTCAATCAATTTCTTATACTCTACATTTTTGTGATGCAAAAGTATTAATGTGAAATTGTTAATTTTTTATTTTAGAGGAAAAATACAAATAGTAGAAACTTTGTTTTGTATGTTCTTGCCTTTGGTGCAACTAATCTTAATTTTCTTGTATATCTACGATTTAAGATATTGATTATTTGATTGTACTTATCTTAATATAGGATAATTGCTACTCTCAATTTGCATACTTTAATTGAGTAGGTTGATTGGATTAGAATTAGGTTTACTTTAGTGCGTGGGTTTTTGCTCTTATTGACGTGATCATTATTTTTATTTAACTTGCCATTGTAGTAGCTTTAAACATTCGTTGATTATTATAATTTTGTTTGCAAATAAACTGAGAATCCTTAATAGCTATTTTTTCAAAAAATAAAATAAAATAAATCTTCCATCAGTCTATAGTATGATCAAATGAATTGAGCAAGGTTATAGTATAATCATATTTGCTCATATACACGAAATTTTTACTCATTTGCACAAAATATGCAAATATTATCCTGCCCATTGCCAAAAATAAATAAACCTTGAAATAAGTTATTTCCATTTGACCGTTTGTACTATATAATATAAGTAATTTATTTTTTTTATTTTTTTGGCACATTTTTATAACAAGACTCAATTTCCCTCTTTTCTTTTATTCTCTGGATTTATCATACTTATTTTCTCTCTAAATTTATGAATTCATATGATTCATAATATCTCTCTAAATTCATGTTACTCTTATTTTATAATTTGTTCAGTCTAAACACACATAAGATTTATGTTCTATTTCTCTTTTTAATTTCAAAATCCATTTACTATTTTTGCATAATGATAGTTTTCATTTTAGGGTTAAAATGTTGTTATTTTTATGCACCTTTTTCTCTTTTAAGTTTTTTCTTCTTTTTCGTTGTTAAATAATCTTCAATATTGTGAGATAAAATAGCTAAACGAGCAATTTGAGGTATAAGTTTCTCAATTTTTTGCTCTCCTATTTCATTGGTAAGTATGCTTGATTTGTAAAATAAGACATCATTTATTGCTAATTCATTAAAGATGAGCACATGTTTTGCTCCTTTGTAGAAAATGAGCAAATTTATCCAAACTCTTCTTTTGCTACTCTATTTCAACCATGGACCATGAATAAATATAATGTCACTAAGCATAGTCACTAATGTACTCTTAGTACAAGTGCATGAATTGAGAGTTTGAAACCAAGTTTTTTTTTTTTTTTTCTTTTATATATATATATATATATTTGGTGTACTCTTTGCGATTTGGTAGTGGAGGTTTATTTTTCATTTGCTTTATTTAAACCGGGCTTGTCTCTTAAAGGGTCTAAGTCACTGGGCCCATAGACTGGTCAGCAGAACGCACACAACCCAACAAAATCATTAAGTGCATGAACAAAAAGTCCAACCATTAATACAGCCGTTAGAGGCTTTTTGTCAAACGGTGGTTTTGTGCCGTTGGAGAAATTTTGTTCATCTTAAACTTATAGGGGGGCCTCAAGGCCCTCAACGGCTCAAACTATTTGACTAATGGTATACAATGTTAGTCAATTACTTATTAAATTAGAGTTAATTGACAAAGCATACTCATACACATGTATACTATCACAAGTCAATTTCACAACTAAATAAAGTATCACTACCACCGCATCTAGTTAAACAAATCACAACTATTTATTGTCTATGCAAGTTTAATATGAAGTATGAAGTGCATTAATATATATTTGCTAATATAATTAAGTGTTATGATATACACACGGAAAGTTACACAGTAATGTATACTCTAATACACTTTTTTTTTTTTTTTTTTTGAGAGATACTCTAATACAATATATCATGAAGTGTACTCCATATAAAAGAGAAATACTTGTATTGAGTTTTATTAATCTTACTTGAAATACATACATAATTTTATATAGGCTATTTTACCAAGCCTATGTTGACATAAACTAATACCAAGAGAAGAGAAATTGAGAAGTGTTTCTATTCTCTCCTCCCATTTTATAATTACACCCTCTTTAATTCTTTATTTCTGTTAAATTAATTACATGCATACATAAAATGAAAACAACAACATTAAATAAACATGCACGTAATTAAATTACGTACACACATCCTTTTAGCTTATTCATGAGTAACGTAACGTTTCTTGATAAATTTGTGAGCATTCACAAATTCATCAAACGTAGTATTTAATGGAAGGACTGTATTTTTCAATTTGATCCCAATACCTTGACCAAAGCATCACACCTCCATACTTGGGAGATTTCTTAATAACAGGAAGCACTTGTGACTTTAGTACATCTACCGGAATAAACCCGGTGTCGGCGGCTTTAGTGGATGCAGGCAACCCTAAGAACACATTTCTTGTTTTGATTGATGTCCAATAATTCCATGTCTTAAAGAAGTTTTTCTTATTCCCAGCAGTGTACTCACATGAAGGATTGTTAAAGAATCGGACCCAAATGTAGTCGAAAAGGCCCGTGTTTAAGGCAGCATCTAGATGCTTATCTGGGATGAGGCATTGAGGAGCTGCACTTAGGTACACCTTTCTTGGAGATTTTGTGTTGTAGGCAGCCAAGTAACGCGCCAATATGTCATAATATCTGCATCAATACAAACTATATTTTAGATATAAAGGAGTAAAGGTAATATGTATTATTTGATGTATGTTTTTTTTTTTTTCGGGTGTTTAGAGAGCCACAAAGGATAGGTGATGAGAATCGATTCTAGATTTCCTGAAATCAGGAGGGAAACTCTAATCATTTGAGCTAGCTATCATATCCCTCACTTTCTATTTGAGGTGTATGTAATAGATTGTATAAATTATTTAGTTGTAATAAAAAATATATATATATAAAAAAAAAAAAAAAAAAAAACAAGAAACACTTTTAATAAGTCGTAATTGATTCAATTTAGAAAAAAAAAAATTATAATTTGTTACTGTGATTCTTACTTTGTTGATCCGCTTTGAATATAAAAGTCGATCCCATCAAGCACAACATTATCAAATGGTCGTGTACGAGAGTAGCCTCCCAAGAAATTGTTCCACAAATAATTTGCTAGGTCTTTAGCTTCATTTGGAGAGTTCAAGGTGTAATCCGCACCATTACCACCTATTGAGAGTAAGACCTTTACCCCAATCGATTGACAATACTTGATTTCATTACTTAGGAATCTGCAACCACCTGTTGATGGATTGCAATGTGTAGCTAGATCTAGCATAGGAGTTCTTCCTTTGCCAAACTTACTAAGAAAGGCTATGTTAACATGTGAATATAACTTGGACGAGCATGCTTGGCTGAGAGTACTCTCACGACCTTGGCCCCAATAGATCGGAATGCTACCCCCATAGGCGGCATCAATCGCTAGGACTAGGACAAGGAAAGAAACAAACAGGACTTTTGTAGTCATTTTGTGTATGTGATTTTTTTTAATAAGAGATATATGTGTATATTTTTGTGTCTTGGTACATTTTAAGCTCAATAAGCGATCATATTTATAGAGTTCAAGAATTATGATCGATTCATGGCTTTGTACGTACTCTAAGCAAGACACATTATATTAAACGACGTGCAATTATAGCTTGTAATAATAAAACACACGGCTTCATGCTGTAAATTATAGTACTTGTGTATGTACATAGATTGAGAAAGGCCAGTTTATGAAATCTATTGCTCAAGTTCAACGGAATTTAGCGGATATTTCAATACCATGCATTTTCAAAATACAGCAAATTAAACTGGTTGTGATTGTTAAACTATTCATGTCTTTCCGAAATTTGAATTCAATAATCAACGGCTAATCGGCTATTGGCTAGTAGCCATTGATTAGCTAGGCTATAAATTGAGGAATAATTTTTTGATAATACTAAGCTAGCTAGTAGCTATTACAGCTTATTTAAATATCAAATATACAGTATATATTTAGCTTTAGTAATCTACTTTATTTGATCTTTATGTTTACTGTGTTTAAAAAGGAGATGATTGTGTTGTACGTGTTGGGCCAGTTATAACAAGAGTTTTTTACCTTGCATAATTAGGTTTTAATACAGTAGTAAAGATGACATTAGATCGTGTCGAGTTATACCACGTGTAAAAGAGCAGGGTTTTGTTGGCTATACCTAATGACTTAGGCATGCTCTCACTGACCGAACTTAGCTGAACTGAACTGAAATGAATATTTCATAAGAGAAGGAAATTAGGAGATGAACTGAATTGAACTGAATTTATTAGAGATGAACTAGACTGAACTGAAAATAAACGTATGAGAACAAACCCTTACTAGCTTAATTAATACATACTCCCAGGTAGGGGTGAGCAAAGACCCAGGGTACCCGGTACCGGACCCGGAACCGGTTAGGATCCGCCGGGTCCGGACCCGGAACTGGTCCCACCGGGTCCGGACCCGGAACTGGTCCCACCGGTTCCGGGACCGGGTCCAAAATGTCGGACCCGGTTGTAACCGGTTCCGGGACCGGGTCCTAAAATTTCGGACCCGGTACCCACTGGGTACCCGGTTTAAACCAATTCCAGTTCCGGGTACCCGGTCCCGGATCCAGACAATCCGGGTACCCGGAACCGGTACTGATTTAGTTATAAAAAATTATTTTTTTTTTAAAAAACCCAACAATCCACAGTCCAATACAACATTAGGCCCATTTCATCCAATTCATTTCTGCTAGGGTTTCTGTCAGCCACTAAGCCTCCTCATTTCATTGAATTCATTTTTGCTAGGGTTTTGTTCTTCTCTGTTCATTCTCAATCTTCTCTGTTCATTCTCAATCTTCTCTGTTCTCCTCTGAAAATCTCATCTTGTCTTCTTTCGTTCTCATCAATTCACTGATTCTCGGTCTTCTTTCGTAAGTATTTTTCTCTTGGTACTCAAAATCTCATCCTCTCTTTCGTTCTCATCAAGCCACCGAACGACTGTCTCTTTCGTAAGTATTTTTCTCACTTTGTTTGCTTTTTGTTTCATCTTGCATATGTAGATCTCTGGTACTGTTTATTGCTGCTTGCATTTTCTTTGGAGATAGTTAGAGTGTTTATGTTAATTTTAATTTTTATTTTCTTCAATTTCTGAGGGTGTTACGAGTGTTTAATATGCTGAAATCAATGAATTGGTACAAATTGACTGCACTTATAGTCTTTTTCTGCAATTTCTGGGTGTTTGAATAGATTCTTATTGAGTATTAATTGGTGGGTACCATTTTTAGTTGCTGTACATGTTTAGTTCAGTCATTGCTTTTATAGAAGTTGTTGTTTGGCTGTTAACATTGTGGTGTTGATCTCAGTACATGAGGTGGGTACACTGGGGTTTCGTTTTAATGATGTTATGTTTGCTGCTTGCATTCTCCCTGATAGAGTTAAAAACATTGGAAGAAACAGAGTCAATAACTCAATGTTCTATCTTTTGGCTTTTACCACTTGCGATGGATTAGTGGAAAAATTGCTTTAGAGGAGATATTTCCCAAAGTTCAAAAATTTTTTGTTGAATTTTTTTCCTGACTGAATGATTAAATAAAAAAATCATACTACACTACACTACAATCCCATCTTCTGATCACATTCACCTTGCATCTTTGCAATAGTGTTTTTTTTTTTTTTTTTTTAATCTAGTTATCATGATATTGGTTTACCTTGTTTTTTCAGATTTTCAGATCTATTTCTTGTTTTATTGAGCTGGTCTTTTCTGAAATTTGTAGTTGTGGAGAAAGATGTAGATGGTGATGCATGTGCAGGAACTACAGTTGGATTTCTATGTAGAATTCTGCTTGTTTAAAAGGTTTTTATAGAGGAGAAAGTGTTTCAACAACTAAAGGAACCTTCTTTTCATAAGATTAATTACCATTTTTTCTTTATTAAGTTCCAATTCCTTTTTGTATTCTTCATGAAGATGATGTACTAGGATCTGTGCATATTGTCTCTCCTTTCTTTCTTTGTGTTTATGTGAGTGAGACAATATCAGTTCTGACTGTTGTATGTATTTGTGTAATGCATATAATCACTCTCACTTTGTGTAATGTTTATGTCTTATTAAAGTTTAATTTGTTCCTATTTCAGAACTATGAGCAATACCGACAATTCGTCAGTCCCTATGGATGATGAAAGTGAGGTTGGAAACGAGAATGCAACAACCAAATCAACCAAGGTTGGTGACAAGAGGAAGTCTGAATACTGGAACCATTTTTGGGATTTTAGAGATCCAGTAACCAAAAAAATTGTTCAAGTCAAATGCAAATATTGTGAGAAAATGCTAACAGGTAATACTAATAATGGAACTTCTTCATTAAAGAAACACCTTGGTGCATGTTCAAAATACCCTCCAAATGTAGACAAAAAGCAAAAACTCATTTCTGTTTACAAGTCTCCTGAATCTGATGCTACTATAGTCTCTAATTGGAAATTTGATGAAACTGCTTGTAGACTTGGTTTGGCAAGAATGGTTATTGTTGATGAACAACCATTTTCTATTGTTGAGCGTGAAGGTTTTAGGTATTTTTGTAGTGTTGCTGTACCTCAATTTCATATACCTTCACGTTTTACAGTTGCAAGAGATGTGAAGAATATATTTGTTTGTGAAAGTGGAAAATTAAAGAAATTAATTGGGTGTTTGAAATCGAGAGTGTCACTAACAACTGATTGTTGGACCTCCATTCAAAATTTTAATTATCTTTGTTTGACTGCTCATTTTATTGATGATAATTGGAAGTTGCATAAAAGAATTTTAAATTTTCAATTAATGGATAGTCATAAAGGTAAGGAAATTGGAAAAGTTGTGGAGGCATGTATTCTTAAATGGGAGATTGAGGATCGATTGTTTTCTTTAACTGTTGATAATGCTAGTTCAAATGATGTGGCGGTTGGATATTTGAAAACACATTTTCATGATAAACTTGTTTTGGAGGGTTCATTTTTTCATATGAGATGTGCTTGTCATGTTCTAAATTTGATTGTGAAAGATGGTTTATCTAGTGTGAAGTCTTCGATTGCTCGAATTCGTGCTGCTGTTAGATATGTGAGGAGTTCACCTTCTAGAGCTAAATTGTTTGCACACTCTTCTATGTTGGTTAAAGTTTCTTGTAAAGGTTCAGTTTGTCTTGATGTGGCAACTAGATGGAATTCTACCTTTCTCATGCTTGAAACCGCATTGAAATTTGAAAAAGCTTTTAATAGGTTTGCGGAAGATGATCCTGATTTTAGTAGGGAACTCAAGGATGGAGTACCTACACAAGAAGATTGGGTAAATGCTAAAGTGTTGTCTTTGTGTTTGAAATTATTTTATGAGTCTACAAAGAAAATGTCGGGTAGTTTATATGTTACTACAAACTTGTATTTTCACGAGGTTTTGGAGGTGTTAAGTTGTTTGATAGAATGGGAAAACTCTACAAATATGGATATTCGTATTATGGGTAGACAAATGAGGGAAAAGTTTGATAAGTATTATGGGGATCTCGGTAAAACTAATATCATGATGTTAGTTGCGGTTGTTTTAGATCCTCGATATAAGCTTAGGTTTTTGAAGTATTCTTTTAAAAAACTTTATCCTAACGACTTTGCCAAAGTCGATGTTATTTGTGACAATTTGTATGACAATGTTCAGAAGTTATTTAACCATTATGATGCTATTATTGCTTCTTCCTCTTCCAAGAATAATCGTAATATTAATGTTGCCAATGTGGATAATGGTTCTGAAAACTTGAGCTCTTCAAATAGTGAGCAAATGAAAAAGTTTTATGATGATTTTGATGAGGAAGAAAGTGATTTTATTGTTGAAAAAAGTGAATTGGATTATTATCTTGAAGAAGCTCGGGAGAGAAGGGTTGAAGGGGAAATGTTTGATATTTTGGGTTGGTGGAAAGAAAAAAGTGACAAATACAAAGTATTGTCAACATTGGCTAAGGACATTTTGGCTATACCAATTTCTACGGTTTCTAGTGAATCCGCATTTAGTACATCGGGTCGCATACTTGATCAATTTCGTAGTAGTTTGGGGCCAAATATGGTGGAAGCTTTAGTTTGTACTCAAGATTGGTTAAGGGCGTCAAATGTATGCATTGATATTGAGCGCTTCCTTGAGGATGTTCAAAAATATGAAGAAGGTAATACACTAATACTTCTATTATTTTGTATATTTATCTATTTTATTTCTCTAAGTTTATTACTTATATTGTTTACTGTTTTTTTTTAGAATTGGATGGTAGTGACACTGGCATCACACAAGTTAATGAATTTGTTGGAAATAATTGATGTGACAAAGGTTTGTATAATTGTATTCTTAATTATATTGTATGAAAAGATATCAAATGACAAATATTCTAAGGACATTTTGGCTTTTGTTTATAGGGAATTTGTGCTTCCTTGTTGGCTGCTGCCTCTTTGCTTTGTTGTCTGCTGTATGCTGTCTTTCTCCGTTGCTTAGATGGTTGCTGACTTGCTGCTGGTCTTGTTGCTGGCTGATGGTGTGCTCAGCTGCTGCCTGCTGATGGT